GACTCCTCCATTCTGGATGATGGGTGGACATTGTGAAGGACACAGCCCCAAGGGGAGCTTGATTTTTCTGAGTGGGAGAGCTGGCCTGTGGCTGGCACTTCTTTCCTGGAGACCTCTAAGTGGTCATGGCAGCATCAGCCACAGCTGGGCACTGCCTGGCTCCTCTCTGCCCTTCTGTCCTCCTCCCCATCCTTCTCCTGTCCCTGCCTCCCCGCCCTGCTTCTAGTGGTGTGGGGGGCACACCACTGGTGCCTGTCCCCCAGCTGGGAGGTGAAGTCCAAAGGGCAGAGCAATCTCCCTAAAGTCCCAGCTGCGTGTAAACACTGACGACCGTGTTCGCACACAGGAATGAGTGCATGGATTCTGTGTGGCGGTTCTCACTCTGCTTTGCCTGGGGAGTCAGGACCCTGTGTCCACCCTGGCCCGGCCACAATGGCAGCCACAATGCCCGGCTCCAGGGCCTGCTGGTCGTGCATACAAAGCGCCTGGCCAGCCATTATCATTCTGGAGCCGAAATCCGCCCGGCGTGCATCTCATGGGTCATTCAGCAGCCCTTAATGACTTGTCAGTTCCTTGCCCTGCCATTTTCTGTCTAATTAATTCTTTTATTGTGCACCGGATAAAGAAAGACAAAGGCCTCCGTGGCAATAATGATTCATTAGAATGCAGCGCCTTCGCCTCCACAGCTCTGGGCGCTCCAGCCAACTGCTCCGCCCGCCGCGGGCAAGGCGGCCCGCGCCCCTTAACCCTTTGAGGGGTCCCCCTGGGCCAGTTGCCCCTGAAAAGCCCAGACATGAGCCGGTCAAAAAACCTCTTGGGGGAGGGTCCTCTGAGTCCCCTTGAGTTTTCCCAGGGTGGACCTCAGGGGAACAAGTCTTGCATCTGGGAATCCAGAGGCTCCCTGGCCAGCCCCTAGATTCTGGCCCAGCCTAATGGGGAGGGAGAAGATCCGGAAGGGGGTGCATCCTAGGGAGGGGTCTGGAGACTAGTGGGCTTGAGATTTGACCTAGGCAGCAGGTGCCAGTCACAGGGCTGGGGCACTGGCTGTAGCTGAAGCAGCCCAGTTCAAGGCATCTTCAGGAAAGCCTTCTGTGGGCATGGGGAAACTGAGTCTCTGGAAGGCCAGCGGGCCAGCAAGTGGAGCTTCTCACCATAGGACTGCAGAGCTGCCCTGGGCAGCAACAGGAGGTAGGTGAAGAAGAGCGGTGCCTGTGGCCAACATGGGGCCCCAGTTTGGACATGCACCTTTGCCCAGTTCACTTTAGCTTTCTCCTGGCAAGCCCACCTCATTCTGCAATGAGCAGAGTGGCAATGTGACCCCAGCAGTATCTCTCAGGCCACGTCCAGCCTGTGCACAGCATGCTCAACTACTGGTGGACCCTAATCTCACTGGGCCTGCAGGACCTGAACATCCTTCCTCCCCAGGGAAGTCATGTGCCCGAAGCCAGCAGGGAGAAGTAGAAAGTGCGGGAGAGATTAGAGGGGCTGGGGTGGGCTGTGCTGCCCTCCAGGTCTGTGTTGCACCTTGGGACACCCTGTAGGTCCCCGTCCGAGGGCCTACAGGGGGTCCCAAGGCCTTGGCATCCCCTAGCGATGGCCTCAGGCCTAAGCCAACTCCGTCAGGCTGCTGGGTCACGGGAGTTGTGGTGCCCTCACTGACAGGCCTGAACAGAGGTGTGGGCCAGGATGTCATGGTGCACAGGAAGGGCTGGCCAAGGCCAGATGCTGTGTCCAGCTGTGAGTCCTCTTCCTGCCAATAGTCTTTTTCCAGGTGCCCGGTGGGAGGTAACCTGTCTCTTTCTTGGGATTCATCTCAATCTGGGGAAGGGGTGCTGGTGGCCCAAGATTGGGTCCTGGCCAAGCAAAGGCTTGCTATGGAGCTGGCAGAGTGTGCCCCAGCCAGTGGTCCACACGCAGTGCCCAGGACTTGCTAGTATGTGGTGGCCGGAAGATGTAGGGATTTGCTTTGGGGCTTGTGCTGGACATAGTGCAGCCAGAAGTGGGCCAGCAACAGTCGTCCGTCTTTGCTGAGGCCCAAGCCCCTGGGCCTGGGCCTGGGTGTTGAGAGGAAAGACAGAGGCCTGGAGCGCAGGCAGGCCAGAACCTACAGCTCTGACACCCATCTTGGAGTCACTTGGTGAGGCTCTGACACCCACTCTGGGGTCCTTAGAGAGGCCACTGCAGGCTGAGTGCCCGAATCTGCCTCCCTGAGAGTCCTGGAGAATGGGTAGCTGCTCAGGGCCATGAGTTCTCTTGGGAGGGCCACGCCAGCAATGAACCTGTCTCGATGGAGAATCTGTTGCTGAAAGCTGACACAGGCCCAGGAGGACCTTGGGGCTTTTCCAGTCTTCAGAAATGGTGGCCTTGGGCCTTGGCATTTCCCCTTTTTGCCTGCACAGGGCCTTCTGTTCATCTGGGGTCAGAGGTGACGCCGCTGTGCTGGGCAAGGAAACAAAAAATGAGGAACTCCCCTGGGCTGGGCTGACAGGGTGCACTGCGTACCTGGAAGTTCACCAGCAAGAGACTCAGAGGCCACGGGACATGGGACACCTGAATCTGCACAGGGGTGGACTGCGACCTCTAGGTGTCTGCTCCCTGGCCACAACCTTGGTGCAGTATTGGGGCCCAGCATCTGGAGACTTTTGGGACACCTGGCCTTGGGCACAGCCTCTGAGAATGATGGACAAAGCCACTGCCTGTGCTGCCCGGGAAACAGGACAGAGTGGGCAGGCATAAAATGCAGGAAGGGGAGGGAGTATCTCTGTGCCCCAGACAAGGGTGTGGGCTGCACAGGTGCTGGGGCCATGAGTCCTGGTCCTAGGGAAACTCAGAAGCACAAAGACCCCAGGAAGACCCTCAGGAGGCCCAGCGGCACCAGCCTGGGTTGGTGAGACAGAGGGCCCGGGCCCCCAGGAGTTAACACGCAGGAGCCCTGCCAAGTCCAAACAAAACTGGCAGGGCGGCACAGCCCTTGGGAACCTGGCAAGCCCCAAAGCAAATCCCAGCACAGTGAAGGCCTCACAGCTTTGTCCGAGAGCCGGACGCCCGGGGCTCTCCTTGGTCTGGGACATCAATGTGGGAGCTTTGAGAGCCATATGGGCCTGGACAGCCCTTGGCTGGACACAGGACAGGCTGGGCCAGTTCCACACAGGCAGCAGGCTATGAAGGCTGCAGCCATCCGTGAACCTGGCAGCCCCCTCCCCAGATCCTTCAACCCTGGGGGCCTGCCATACCCAACCTCAGGGACCCTCATAAACCAGGGCAGCTCTTCATGAACACTGCTCCTGGTAGGCCCTGGACTGGGTTTCCACTGGGGTGAGGGAGGCATTGGTAGGGTATGTTGAGGATGGGGTGGGAGTCTCCTACTGGGGCCACCCTTAGACCTGCAGCTGCAGCTTCCTTCCATGCTGGGGTCCTGGAGGAAGCACAAGCCTGTGCCCACCCCCAGGCTTGGAAGCCTCAAGAAGCTGCATGCGCAGCTGGACACAGCCAGCCCAGAAGCCCCCGAGCAGCCGTGTGTACCCGGGACTTGGCAAGAGGCCTGCTGCCCCCGCTGCTGTCACTCCCCACAACCATTTTCTCCCCAGAAACTCTCCTCCAGGCAGACAATTCTGCCCAGCTCCTGCAGGGCAGCCTTTATTCGTTCCCAGTTTGGCTCTGAGCCAGCCCTGAAAATGCTGTCAGTGTGGGGCACTGCACAGCACCCAGAGACCAGCCCCATGGGCTTGGGAGCAAACAGTCCCAACGTCGCCCATCTGGACTCATTTTGCCCATGCAGGAAGCTCCAGGAGGGAGCCAGCCTATCAGCTCACCCCAGAACTGCCCTGCTCTGGGGAAATCTGGTGGGCTCCAGGCCACACATCACCTCCTCACGCCCTGGCCAGGAACCTTCAGGCCCCAGGCTTATGGAAAGCAACCCACAAGACGTGGCCCACATAGATAAAAAGCAATTTTTTTTTTAATTTTATGAAATCGATCTGTACAAAAGTTAGCATTACTTGGTCAGAAAGTAGCAGAACGCAGCAGGCAAGTGACAGCAAAAGTCTTTCCAAACTTGACACTGAAAAATAGATGGCATAAAAATGAGTTTGCTGCGGTTCCCACCCCCAGAAAGAGATATGCAAAAAAAAAAAAAAAAAAAAAGACCCACATTTTTTTTTTTCTAGAAAAAGGTAGGAAAAGTAGAAAAAGTAAAAAGAAGCAACTTCTCGGGTGTATTCGACTTTACAAAGTTTCAAAGGCACAAGTTTCCGTGAAGTAGACGGTTATATGCTCGGCACACAGCAGAAGCAGGGTGGTGAATCAGTACCAGTCTCTACAACTAGGAGCCCAGAGACATTTAGTGGAGGTTTAGTTTCACAGCTTGGTAGGTGGCACCAGGGCCTCAGAGCCAAGATTGTTCTTTCACTTTCAGGGAATTTCTGTCTTCTACCATTTGGCACAGCCACGGGCAAGGACCAAGTCCTCCCTTCCCAGCCGACCTGATGCCAGCCAGGGCAATCGACTTTGATCAGACCCACAAGGCAGCTCTTTCCTCCTTCCCTCAGCCCTGGCCTCACGGGCCTCTGCATCTCAGGGCCTCCCAGGCAGCCTCCCAAAGCCGCCAAGCACCGCACCTCCCTCCCCCCTGCCCCCTCGGCAAAGCTTCCTGGCTTTCCTGTCGTCTTAAGTTCTACTCTCTGCACAAATCACTTCATTAATTAAAGATAAAATAATACAGAACATAAATACATCCTTAACAGCTTTGAAAACAAACACGTTTAAGCTTTAAAAATAAAAAAATCACTGAAAAAAAATTAAACACAAAAAGAGAAGTGCTGGTCACAGCCAAACCTTTTTGGGAAGAGCTGTGACTACCAGGAACGCCTCCATCTGTGTCAGTCCCAGGCGATATCTGAGTGTCAAGGACACGTGGTCACCGCAGGAACACACCCCGTGGTCCCAAGGGGCTCTCCAGGTAGGACAGTCCAGAGACCTCAGGCCCCTTCCCTCCTGTCCTAGGTTCCATGGCTGCTGATTCCATCCATCAAGGTGCCCAGCCAGGTCCTCTGTCCACGGGTCCTCACAGAAGGGGCACTGGACAAATGGCTATCCGTGCTCAGAGCGAGAAGGGAAAAAGCCATGTTTGTCGGCAGAAGTGTGGAGGCAAAGGGACGTCCTGTGACAGCGCCTGGCTTCCTGCACGCAGACCCCACAGGCACCTGATTGTGGTCACGTTGCCTGCTGCTGGCTGGCTGGCACAGGCCTTTCAGGGGAACAAGGGACTTGGCCATCGGAGGCCCGGCCAAGTCCCCATGATGAGCATCCTCAGGGCCTGGTCAAGGTGGTGTACACAGGCTGGTCCCAGTTGCCACTGGGGCTGTGGGCCGGTGGCACAGAGAGCCCATTGAGCAGCGGCGAGGCATAGGGCCGGCGGGAGGAGTGGAAGTAGGGGTACTGGTAGAGGCTGGGTGCGTAGCCGGCATAGGGGCTGTAGTAGTTGGAGGCCTGCAGGTCGGTGTAGTCACACTGCGCGCTTGCAAAGGAGCTGGCAGCTGTGGCGGGGGCAGCACTGGTGACGCTGGCCTGGGCGCTGTAGGAGCTGTAGTCGGAGCGACCTGGGGAGCCATGTGGCTGGTCACCATAGTGGCCTGGACTCAGCTGCTCCGTCTTGATGTGCGGCCGTGGGGGTCCAGCCTCAGTGGGTGACGCTGAGGCTGATGGGGCTCCCTTGTGAGCCCACACAGGGGACACCCCAACACTAGCCCCAGAGTGGGAGTAGGAAGTACCCCCATAGGAGCCAGCAGCAGCAGCCTGGCTGGGCTCTGCAGGCAGGGCCGAGTGGCCATTGAGGGGCAGGTACTGGTCGAACTCATGGACGTCAAAGGTGTCCATATTGCTGATGACCTCGCTGCTAAGCTCCGAGATGTCCACGTTGCTGAAGTCGATGTTCTGGCGGCCGCTGTCCACCAGGCGGCGCCCTTCTGGCTTCAGCTCCTGCTTGCCCCCGCCAGCAGGGTGGTGTAGGTCTGTCTTGGGAGTGGTGGGCGGGGTGGGCGGCCCGTGGGTCTGGCCTGAGGAGGAGAGCACAGTGTAGATGAATGCCCCTTCTGTGGGGCGGGGCGGGGCCAGAGGCCGGCACCAGCACCCGGGGAGCGGCGGCAGGTAGGAATCAACGAGTTTTTGTTTCTTTACACTTCCCAGAAATTCCTGCAGTCAGTTCTAGACCTCACTCCTCGGCAGGCCCAGGAAAGAAAATTCCGTTAAGCACTGTTCTACAGGAAGACCCAAGGCCCCCCCCAAAGACCAAGATGGGGGAGGAAGATGGCTGGCCTGGCCCCACCAGAGCTAGCAATAATGGGCCACTAGCAGAATGCTGGGCCCTGTGCCCACAACCAAGGTGGATACATACAAGACCCGTTCTTCCCATCCATGCTGAGCAAACTGACGCTCAAGGGCTCTGGCCAGCTAGAACAAAACTGCCTGGCTGCAGGGACCCCACTCCCTCAGCCCGATTTTAAAGCTGTGCTGCTGACCCCATGCAACCAGCGGCTCACATGTAGCACGGAGCGTGTGGGTAGGTCGAGCTGAGATATCTGCATGGAGCACTGGCCATGCAAAGCTGCTGGACCCTCAGCAATCCTGTGGCTTGGGCCCCCCAGTGTGTCATAAACAGCTGCAACCAGGGGCTTTGGGGGCTTTCCCAGGGTACCCAGGAAGGTTGGCTCTCTGATAGGCGCCTGCCTACCCTGCGGTAAGCCCCTCCCAGGGGCTCAGGCCCACTGCTGCTTTCTCCCAGGAGGTCAGATGCTCAGGGACCTGGAGCCCACCTGTGTGGTCACCATGGTGGTGTGTATCACCATGGAGGCCCGCRTCAGCCTTGTACATGGTGCTACCAGGGTGGTGGCCCAGCTCGGCCCCCGAGTCAGAGTCGCTCTGGCCCGTCTTCATGCTCTTCCTCCGCCGTGGCTGGTACTTGTAGTCCGGGTGGTCCTTCTTGTGCTGGACCCGGAGCCGCTCAGCCTCCTCCACAAAGGGACGCTTCTCGCTTTCGGTCAGCAAGCTGCAGAGCACACAGCAGGGCTGGCCGCGGGACCTGGTGCTGCCACGGTGCAGCCAGCCCGCACGCACACGACCGGGAAGTGGGCTGGATGAGACATGGCCAGGACACAGGCTGGGGCACTGGACCAGGCCTCCCTCCACCTGGGAACCCAGCCATGCATTCACACCTCCCAGGCTCCAAGCAGGCAGCACTCCCCAGTAGGAGCCTGGGGGGCCCGTTGGGTCAGGTCTGTGTGCTTACTGTGGTCAGAGGAATAAGACCCAAACTCTCCACCCTCCTCCTCTGATATCCCCCTTTCCAAGTCTGTTTTATCCCTCCCTTTGGGGCTTTCTAAGGATATGGGTAGGACCTAGCTGAGAAAAACACTATGAACAAAAATCCAGGTGGCGTGGACTCAGCTGGGTTTGCTGTCCCTCCATGGCCAGCCTTCCAGAAGCAATGGCAAAGCCCAGCATCTGTGTTTAGAACACATCCCCAGGGCTAACTGCCTGTGGGACAGGGTTCAGGGGTGCCAACTGGGAATCCTGTCCAATCCAGTCCAGAGTGCCTGACACTGTGCCCCAGATCCAAGGAGAAGCCAGGAACCACAGACAAAGCACTTGGTGGTCAGGTGAGGAGCAAGAAACAGAAACCAGAACCCCAAACCCGAAGTCATCCATCTTAAGCCCAAGCAGAAGACATTTAGCAGGGTGGGCTGTCCCAAGCAGCAAGCCTTCCCTGCTGCCTCCCTGTCTTCTGCAGGCGCCCAGCTGGAGCACACCAAAGAGTGCACAAAGCCTTTCCTGCACTCTTCATCCACTCCTGCCTTCTTTGCTTTGGGATAGATAGCTAGGGAAAGGGAGAAGCGTGGACTGCAGAAGCCAGCAGACCTTTCTGGCTCCCTCTCCATGGGAAATCTCAGGGTTTCAGCCCTTTTTCAGGAGGGAGCACCTCCGATACCAGCTGGCTGCCTGCCCCTGGGCATTGCAGGCCTCCTGATGGGGCTGGGCCACTCACGGTGCCTGTCACAGTCCAGGGCAGGGTGTCCTGGGAGTGGAGGATGCACTGGGAACCGCCACACCAGCCACTGCCTTCCACCCACCTCCAGACCTGCACCTGATGACTGGTCTGGGCTAGCCAGAAGGTATTTTCCCCTTCGGACCCATCATGGAACCGTCAGGAGGAGGCACTGCCAGAGCCTGGAACAGACCACCAACTCCACCAGCCCCTCCACTCCCCCACTAAGTGGTTGTCCACTGCGCTACATCCCCGCTCCTGCCCGCCTTGCCTGACCCTGCACTCACCGCCACAGCTTGCCCAGCGTCTTGCTAAGTTCGGCATTGTGCAGGTGCGGGTACTGGTCCGCCAGCTTGCGGCGCGCCGCCTGCGCCCACACCATGAAGGCGTTCATGGGCCGCTTCACGTGCGGCTTGGCCTTCAGCGCTCCACCGTTGCCACCACGCACGGGCATGGGTACCAGGCTCCAGTCGTAGCCCTTGAGCACCTGCGACACCGCGTCGCGGATGCAGGCCGGGAAGCGCTCGTCCGCTGCCTCGGCTGCATCGCCCCGGCCGCCGCTCCCCGTGCCCGCCGCGCGGCCAAGGCCCTCGGAGCCCGCGGGAGACGGAGGCGCATCCGAGTCCGAGTCCTCCACGTGCGACATGGAGCTGGCGGTGCCGGACGGGCTGCAGGGCGGCTGGGCGCGGGACTCACTCATGTCCAGCATCGGGGCCGCGCGCGGACCGACGCACCCTGTGGAAAGCGCTCGGGCGCCTCCCGGCTGCTTTGCGGCCGCGGCGGGACCCAAGATCGCTGCGCGGGGCCCGGCCTTCGTCCCCGTCGCCGCTCCCACTCTGGCTCCGCCGCGCCGCAGCTCAGTCCTGGCTCCGAGACCCGCAACAAGTTTCTTTAAGCGGAGCACRAGGCCCCGCCCCGCCCGGCCGCGGTTGGCCGGCAGCCCCCCCAGGGCGGAGCCTGACCGAACGCCCCGCCCGCAAGAAACCCGCGGCCCCCGCCCTCTAGGACGCACCACGTGGGCCCGCGCGTCCCGCAGCCGGAGACTTGCCCGCCTCTGCTCGGTTCCCCGAAACCCAGAGGGGAGAGGGGCGTGGGCGAGGCTCTGCGGCGCTCGGTCCTGTGCAGCTCAATGCGTCCCACGCCGCGAGAGGAAGTGGGGCGCTGGGACCCGGCCGTAGGCGCACAGCGGGTCTGGAGCCCGGACGCCCCGCCTGCACCTCGTGGCGCGGAGACAACTGCTGGCGCCGAAGCCTGGGTCCTCCGCGCTGGGCCACGCGACGGCGGGAGCCGCCGGCTGGTCCAGGTAGCGCGCGCCCCCGAGCTGGGGGACCTGGGTCGCCCGCCGCGTCCGGGGCAGCGGTGGGGACGCGGTTGCCGGAGCCTGGCAGCCAGAGGGGCGGGCTCTGGGAGGGGCCGACTGACCACTGCCGCTGTCGAGTCCCTGGGGCCGCTGGCGGATGGGGCGGCCGGACGCGGGGGCCCGGGGCCTTCCGGGCGTGACCCGGGGCGGAGGTGCAGACCCTGGGCGGGCGGGCCTGGGTGGTCCAGCGAAGGCGGAGGCCACACCAGGCCGCTGCGCCCCAGGCGCCTGGAGAGGAGGGGAGGGGGCGGGTGTGCGGGCCAGGGTGACAGCCGGGGTCTGAGAGGGGACATTTCCCAGGCGAGTGCTGAGCCCCGCCCCCGCGAGCTGGCCCCAGGCCTGGCAGTCCCCAAGGGTGGCTTGGATTCCTTTCCCAAAATCTAGGGAGGCGACAGGTCTGCCGGTCTGCCACCCCAAGCAGGCCATCTCCCCCTAGCTGGCCTGTGAAGCCCAGGTGACCCTAAGCAAGGCCCCCTTGGTTCTACTGCGCAGTCCCAGGCCCTCGACCCTAGGGTCATAGCTGTCACATCGCAGTGATCCTCTTCCTTCCAGGACAGCAGAAATGGCTGCTTTATTGCAAGGAAAAAAATCCAAAAGGAGAGCCCACTGACCTGAGGGTGGGCACAAGTACACACTCGCCAGTCACCTTACCAACTCAGCTGCCCTTGGGAGACAGTCCAGGGCCACCTCCTATCCCGTTGCTGCCAGACCCAGAGACCATCTCACCCTGGAGACCATCTCCCCAGCCTCCAAGCTCCGGAGCCACCTCTCCAGTCTAGTCAGAAGGCCTTGGCCCTTGTCTCCTTGGGCTAGGGAACCCTGAAGTCTTGTTTTGGGACACCTTACAGCTTGCACGCTGAAGGTTGCAGGACCTGTTCTTGCCACCTCCTGGGCTGACACCTAACAAGGAGGTGACTGAGAAGGCACCATCTCTGCCAAGTGCTGTCCTTCACATATTGGGATTCAGTCCTCTGAGCACAGGTGGGGAGCTGGCTCCCTTCCCTCTGCCCCCTGCCAAGAAAGACCCCTCCCTACCAGTCTGTGGTGGCTTTCCTTCCCTCCTTACCTCTCTATGGTCTTTGAAGCATCCGAATCGGTGAAGACCACTGAGGGAGGGTGGAGTGCAGGTGGGGCTTCTGCCTGGGCACCTGTGGGACTTACCGTTGGACTGAGAGTCACTCATGCAAAAGAGGAGCTATCAGAGGTACTGAGGATGATCCTGGTCCAGCCAGGCTGCCTCTTAGCCTCTGTGCCCCGGGGGCTCAGATCTGCCCCTCCCTGGCCTGGTGCTATTGGGGTCACAGGTCTTAATGATGAGATCCCTTTTGCCAAGAAAGCACAAAGCAAAGCTTGGGTTAGATGCTTGGGATGAGCAGGGCAGCCGCTCTCTGGCCCCCCAGGGGGCGTCACAGGCTCATTTCTCAAGTCCTTAGGTCATGATGAGGTGACTCCTGAGGCTCTTGAAGGAAAGGAGGCTGATCCCAGGAGTCCAGTGCCTGGCCCAGGTCACTCTGACCCCCAGGGAACTGACAGGGGAGGTGCTGGTGGGCAGCCCCTGTCATGCATGTGCAGGCCACCCCAGGATGGCAGAGAGAGGCTTAGCCCTGGCCAGCCCAGGATCAGGCCCTTAGGCCCAGTGCAGTCTGCCTGCATGTTGGGGGAGGGGTGCCCTGAAGTCCACCTTCCAGGGTCATCTCTCGGCCATCTCGATGTCTTCAGGAAGATGCCAGCTCCATTAGTGCTGACTTGGGTTCCTGTCCTCAGCCACCAGGCAGGTGCTGAGTGAACACTGGGATATGGCTTCCAGAAAGGGAGATGGCTAAGGTGGGTCATGTGTACGGATTAAACACGGCTTTGGGCCAGTACTTTTATGGGCCATGTAGTCAGGGGCACACAGGGTGGAGTGGGTTTACACTTTATACCAGAAGTGTCTCGTCTGATACAAGACACCTGGGCCTCCAGCCCCAGCCCTTTTCCTGTCCTGGCCTGGGGGGCTCTTCCAGGAATAGAGACCCCCTTGCCATGCTGCCTGTGGGAGGCCTGTGTGCAGATGGAGCTGGGAACTGCAGGGCCGGCTGTGGACGGAATGCCATGGGGAGGAGGATACCCACTGTGCTGACCATCCACTGCCCTTCTCCCTGTCAGTCTGCCTGGCCATCCTGAAGTCACGGAGGCCACTTGTCCTTGTGCTGTCTTTAAAAGAAAAGCATTGAGGGAGGGTGGAGTGGGCCTGTGAACCCCAGGATGGCATGTCCTCTGTCCACAGCCCTGACCTGGGCCTCCCTTGACCCCTTCGTCCAAAGAGGCCTGTGAAGCAGCCAGCACTGTGTCCCAGCACAGCACTGGAGATTAATTGGTGCTTTTAATTGCTTGCTGGTCTGGCAGAAATGAAACAAGGCAACAGAGAGGGGTGAACTGCTCAGAGCTACAGTTCCTAAAGGCAGCTCAGCCTGCGCTGCTGGGTCGCAGAGAGGCAGCAGAGGGCCCTGCTTGGTGCCCCCCAGGAGTCCTACCTCCCTATAACAGACTTTCAGGGCTCTGGGCCAAGCTGTTTGCTGGTCCCCTTTCCCTTAATTTAGTGGTCTCAGGGATGCTGAGAACGCTGGTTGGAGCAAAAGTTCTGGTTGGGGCCACAGTGGGTCCCTCAGTGGAGCTGATGTCTTCTGCCAGCTTGAGAGCTGGCACACACCATCCTTCCACGCACTCTGAGGGTGACAGAGAGCTGCCCACATCCCTGCTTCTTGGCCCTGCAGGGGCAGCATTCCCTGGGCTCCTGTGCCTGGAGCTGGTCCCCCTGCAGCCTGCCCGCTCCTGGCACTATAGCCAGCTACCAGTAGCACCTTCCCCAGAAGCAGTAGAGTCTGTTGCTAGTGTTTGGACTCAAGCAGGGACTTCTTTGGGACTTCTGCACTTCCTAGGCCCATCCCTGATCATGTGAGGTGGAGTGGGTTTGCACCTTGCACCAGAAGGGTCTGGTCTGATACAAGATACCTGGGCCTCCAGCCCCAGCCCTGTTCCTGGTATTCCTCCCCAAACCCCTTCCATGCTTGTTCCCCCACAGCCTTGTTCCATTGCAGTGCCTGGCTACCCTGAACTCTGGTTGCCTGCCCACCTGGCCTTGCCCACTGGAACTCTGCCCTTCACCCTCACCAGCTCCATGCCACCCTCCCTGGGCACTGAGCTCCACTGGGAAGTGACACACGGGCCTGAGAGCGGCCGTCTCATCTACGTGCAAGAGGAGAGCCAGGACACTGATGGGGACTCTTTAGAAAAGCAGCCTTCTGGGCCCACAGGAGGCTGAAATCTGTGTCCACCCTTCCAAGCCCAGCTTCCCAACCTAAGGAGGCTTCTTGCCCATCATGTCCATGTTTGTGACCCCTGAAGTGGAGCCGGTTTTAAGTACAACTACAAAGGCAAAGGGTGACTTGAAGTAGAGCTATCACAAAGAAATCTCTTCTTGGTCAGAGGGGTTCTGTTTGGCTCTGGTCCTGGCCTCCTCTGCCGAGATGGAAGGTTCCAGACACCCATCAGTGCCAAAGGCAAATTAAACATACCCATGAAAAGCTCTGTCTCCCAAGCACTTCCTTCCTGAAAACAGTGAGGGAAGGAGGTTTTAGTCAAGTGCTGCAGTGAGTCCGTGGATGACATGGCTCCCCGGCTATGCCAGGCTGGGGGTGCTGGGGTGCAGAATCCAGTGTTGGGTGAACCTTTGCTTCTGAAGGTCCTGGTAGGGTCACAAGCACAGAAAACTGGCTGTGCCTCTGAGCCAAGGACCACAGGGCCCGACATTGGGTGGCCCTGCCCACAACACACGCCTGGTGGTTTAAAAGGCTATTTGTTAGGCAGTACTATTGGGGTAACTGATGACCAGCGGAGTGACCAGTCCAGCCCACAGGCTAGGCAGTTTCCAAGATTTCTTCCAATCGAGAATATAATTCCAAGTAGAAGAAAAGGACTAGGGCATTTGGCACAGGGCTATGTTGCTTGGACGCAGCTGCATGGAGAAGCTTAGCTTTCCATGCTGCCGAGAGCTGTGGCTCACCAGCTTGCAGGGCACTCAGGGCCACATCTCCCAGGGTGCAGGGGGAGCAGGGACACGCAAGAGGAGACCTCCGAGCCAAGCAGAACAGCCGCGGGAGTCACGGTCAGCAAATGGCACAGCACCTGCTTGCTTGCCCCCACCAGCACCTGCCAGCCTCCCACGGGGTTTTGGCCGCTGGACAGTCAGGGTGGATCAGCCCAAACTGACCACCCCTCCTAGAGAAGACAACAGATGTTAGCATCGACGGGTCCTGCTCCCTTCCCGCAAACAGACTTCAAGATGTGAAAAATTGGGGTAAATGAGGGGT